GGAAGGAATCAAAAAGAAGGACGGAAATCACTAGAGTATGCCCCCTCTTTTACTGCTCTCTATACTCCTGCGGCTATCTGTGCCGTCTGTCTGTTTGTAATCCATACGTTTCTGATGGTAATCCATTCAGGACATTACTTATTATGCCCGAATCCCTTCTCTTCCGCTATGCTCTCGCCTTTCACTTAAGCATATTTCGTCCCTTGAATGGAATTCCCCTAAGAGTTCTCGCGGTCGAGAAAGCCTCAAACTGGCTCACACTATTCCAACTGATGGAAGCGACCTGCTAACGAGGGAATCCGGCGAGTATCCTTGTGTAATTAGGAACAAGATCGCCTAGTTCCTTCCTTTGTGGGGAATCTCGCGTGCTCAAGTTTAGCTGCAGCCGGTCTTCCCGTCCTCTCGTGTAATCACCCATCACAATGGGTGTTGTCGGCTTTGGCTCGACTGAAGCAGCCAGCTAACTGCACCTATTCTTTAGACGGATATTTGCGCTCTTACCACCCGCTTGGGCATTTGTTTGCGTATTTGCTAATTGGCAGGCCGTGGCGCGAGGCCGATGCCGCTATTCCATTCAGCATCGCTTCCCGTACTCTTGCAGTCGCGCCTCGTACTCCAGAAACCCGACCCCATGCGATGATGAACGGGGGATTTCCAGCCGGAAAGTGATATCATGAGTGCTCCCTATAGAATGAGCGGTAGTAGAGGAAGCATAAGGCTTCCAGTTGGAATGCGTATTGATTTCTGAAGGAGAAGGCATAGCTCTCAATCCAGGATATCCCTCACTCTTCGCTGCTAGAACCTTATACCACTAAAAATTAATCGTTACTCGAAATTGGGTAGTTTCATATGTCTTTTGAAAAAAAATGGACTACAAGCATGCAAGGAGAGCTGGGAAAACAGAGAAAAAGAAAAGGAAATCAAATAAAAAGGATAAGTCATTCGTTGCCAATCAATATCATTACCCCTTGAAACATCATTTTTTCACAATGCGCCAGTTCCATTCAAAATCGCAGTGGCATTTGGAGTGCAATCCGGCTTCGGACCTCATCCAGAATTTGATTATTTGACCTTGTGCGTGATGAGTGGGACCGCTTGCTGCTGGCTCACACAAGGAACCACAAATAAGCAATATCTCAAAGGAGCACTTCCGACAACATGAAAAGTTTAGCCTTAAAATCTAGGAGTTACCTAGATGCTCTAAAGGCGGTGACAAGGTGTAGCGGCAAGAGGCATCTCGCTTACCACGTGACGCGATCGCCCGGAACATATGTCTGGGCCAACCAGCCTTCAGAGTCGTTAAATTCGATACCAGACCATGTCTAAGAAAATATATACCAGTGAGCGTTGTACCTCGAGCTAGCATTCAACGTGTCAACAGTCATATCTAGTAGGCCACTATTCGCATTCAAATTTTACACGAATTACTAATGAACGCATTGAAGTAGAAAATGCGTACCTGCATCGCCTAAAAAAGGGATCGATAAAAGGCAAATGCTTGATTTTATTTTACCTAGCGGTCAACTTTCACTTACATGTAGCTTTAGCTAACCAGAAATGTGAACAAATACAACAGAGTTCGGTGAAGACGACGGAAACTATCAAAAATTGAAAAATATCCAAAAAGTGGTTTCTTTTCCAATCGACACGAGCTCTTGTTTCTAAACCCTAATTTTTACCTCTCTTGTAAAAAATGCAAAAATTCTGGATTCAGCTGACAACTACAATCTTATGGAGTGATGGGAGATTTTAGGCGAAATCACGGGGCTGTGAACTTCTGAACTTGCGAAATTTTTCTTACATCTGCCGTCTCCCCTCAAGATCATTTGAAAAATTTAAAATTCAAAATTGAGAGGGGAGACGCCGCAACTGAAAGAGATAATAAACGCTGAGAAGCTTTTGTCAGAAAAAATTCGAGGGTTTCTCTCCACGCAAGGATATAAGTTAGACATGATCGAGAGAAAAGAACTTCAGTTCGGAGACATTTGCGAACGTTTCACTTTTGAGCTTAATCGCAAATTTTATTAATTTTATTTGGGCTATACAAGTGGCCAATGGTCGCACGCCCAGCTTTCCGTCGCTGCTAGTGTCGCATATGTGCGCTCTCTCACCCCACCTCCCCTAAGGTGGCCACACTCCCCCCTGGCTATTCAACGGATTTCGCGATTCTTAGTGAAAGTATAGTAGCTTGAGCCATGCATTCAACTTAAAATACATTTACGTTCAAAAACATGCGATACGGCGTGCCCACCCCTACTGTTGTTATAGCACCATTTATTTAATACATCATGTAGTTAAAAGTGCCACTCGTTGCTTCCGAGATCACCAAGACTAAGGCTCATAAAGCCAACGTAGACTTCGTAATAGAAGAAGTAGGTAAACCAAGTGAAGGTATAAGGCCAAGGCTGGAGAGGATCGTCCGTCAGCACATACCATGTGGGCTATTTACTCACATCGGATTAATAATAATATGAATATTAATGATGTAAATTTTTATATTCTTTTTCTATTTTATTCTGCGAGCTCTTAAATCTCTTAGCCCAACAGTCAGTGATTCTGTGTTCTGTTAATCTTCAAATACAGCAAACTTTCGTCTAACGGTATTCTGTCATTTTCTGCTTCATAAAACTCGACTCAAAATTCCTGTTCCTGACACGTCAAGGCGCCGGCTGCCGAGGGTTTCTTTTGAGAAATCGGGGTCCTTGACGTAATCCGTGGCGCTCTTACGCTACGTCGCACATACGGTCCGCCGCCATGACAAATACTGTCCGTCTAATTGGATTACCACCATCTCCGCCACCACCGTAGCAATCCCCGGCGCATGACACAAACCGATCCTCACCTGGCGAATACGATAAGACATCATCAAAAGAATGGAAAAGAGGGTCCTACCACGACGATATTCTTTGCAGGTTCATATCGTATTCTGAAGTGGAGTTACAATGTCGATCAGAGGACAACTCGAATTTTCCACACATGACGGCAGCGTACCTTCTTGGTGAGTGGCTATCACCACTAATTTACCGAAGCACTTTTTAAATTACCCATTCACTTATTTATTCACCTGTTTAGTGACCTACTTGGTTATTTATTTATTTTTGGATTGACTCACTCGCTGCTTTAGAGCACCTTTGATGGAGCAGCCTGGACAGAAACTCTAAGCTTAACTATTAAACATGGAGCCAGACTAAGTACAAGACGCAAGGCCAAATTAGTGATAGCTTTTCGTAGTACCGTACCTTGAGGAAAAACGGAACATAGAGGGAAATCTTAATCGAAGTTCAACATCATGTGTGTAGCCTTACATACTAGGTAATAGATAACAAACTGCTATTCAGAAAGCAAACCAGTCGGGCCTTCCTTTTTTGGTTGAAGAATAACTTCCCAGTGAAATTGAGCAAGAACCGTTGTTTTTCGTAAAAAAGAGATGGGCAAGGATGGAAGAGTCGGTAAAAAAAATTGTGCAAACATGAACAGGCCACAGTGAATGAACTGAAATGAGACGGATGAAAAAGCAGCGCTTTCGCCCATAGGAAATTACTTAACTAGTCGACGATGGCCGCGGCTCTCTGTGCGAAAATCCAGAATTATTCGGTGGATGGGCAAAAACTCTCCACCTGTTGGTGCGCATTGAACCCGAATCCCTGCTTTCGCGTTGCAGTTGCGTGTGGTGTACCAATTACACCACGAGTGTCACCGCTTTCATAGCTTGGATAAGCGTACTAGTTAGTTACGGCGAGGTGGTTATAACGGTACGCTCTATGGGCACGACCAGGGGCGGTAGGCATTCTCGAGTAGACGACTGCCTTGATTTAATTTATCTTACTTATATTGTGCTCTTACAACAGTCTTTCAATTCTAGTGATTGCAGTTCAGAGTTGCTTTCGTGGACAAAAGATTGCATTTGTGACATGAGATGCTCTTGTTAACACTGCATAGGCAATCGCTTTGGGCGTCACGTGAAGTTTGACGTGATTTGCTGATATTCCACTGAGGCAAATGCGTGGCCGGCATTCAAAACAATTGGAGCACGCCGCGATTGCTTCACGTTATCGTTCGTTTTCTTGGTTTGTCACTGCTTATTTTTGATGCGTTACTAAATGCGGCTTTTGCAAATGAGTATCGCGTTCCAGCACGGGCTCAAATGAGCACATCAAGTTTTGCTAGCTTCATCTGAAAACCGCCCATTTTCTTTTAATAATTAAAAATATTCGTTTCACATTCGCTTCCAGGGGTATGCTATGGGTAGCCCAGTTGTGCAATTATTTAAAAGGTAAACCCTTGAGCGATGTTTACTGAGAGTTCTGACGTCTTTCAGGGGACACCTTGGTCGGAGCATTCACATCATCTGCAACAGGCACGAAGTCAGCGATTTGCTTCTTCTCAATGCAGCGATTGAAGCTGACCTTTTGGTACAACATCGATCGGTGTCGTGGCGGATCCGATTCTATCGGGCTTCCACATATTGGAAGAGATGCCAAGTGCATTAACGTGAGTTCTTTATAAGGTCCTAACGCCTCTTAGCCCGTTCGATGTTCATGCTTTGAATTTTATAACTTGGTCAAGGACCTGCAGATGCATATGTTGACTGCAGTTGTGTGCCAAGTCTTCTGAATTTAATTGGTATTTTCAGAAATCTCGAATTCCGTTGGATGAGGAGACTTGTGAACTGGGAGTGGGTGGCTCGATTGAATCTGTCGAGATCGCTGTTGCTGAAGTTGACGTCAAAATCACCTCACTGAGCGGTATTCCCGATCCACGGATTCTACTCGCCGGTACTGATGACGGACAGATCCTGCAGGTGAGTTACGAGAACGTAGTAACGAGATGATCGCCCTGTGGGGACCCTGACTGAGTCATTCTGGCGCAATCTGGCGTTTTTTGTGGCGTGGACGCCATCTGGTCAGTGGCAGCAGTTCGTTGGTGAACAAAGACCGCCGGGTGGGATTTGTCCAACACATGCCATACGGCCTATCAGTTAATGAAAACATTATGTGATCGAGTAAAGCGATAGGGGGAATGGGAAAAATTATTGGATAACTCTATTCTTAACCACTAAGGTGGTTTTTGGATTCAAAAATCGCTTCAAAAAGGCTTTTCAAACTAGCAAAACCTGGTTATAAACGAAGCTCCGTCGGGTTTGGAAGTCTTCTTTTTCAACTGCTCTTTGAAATCGATTAGACATTCCAATTGAAGTGGACATCCATCATTCATCTTAACAAGGCATTTTTAATACTACAGCAAATATTGGTATGACATGAGTTGATACTTTCAGAAGATACCTTAATGAGACCTCAATTCCCCAGTGACACTGAACACCTCAGTTGATTATAAAGAGCTTAGCGCGTGCTAAATTTGGCGCCTCATAGGTATGCGAGAGAACCTAGCGTGAAAGTTACGCCTATGCAGTCGAAG